CCTGTCCATTAATTATTGGCCCAAGAGGGCCCATATCCTTGTGAGTCCAACATTAAACAATCATCAAATTAACCTACGATTACTGAATACCGAAAAAATTGATTGGAATTCAACTATAAACTATTTAAGACCTAGCCATTTTCACATAACAGACATGCTAATTATATAGCCTTTTCATGCTCTGAATTTGCATCGAATGGTCCTGAACTAAAACTAAATCATTGAGACATCCAGAATATCCAGTCCATATCCACATTACATACAAAATCTCAACCAAATGTCATTTGACAAATTACCACTCCTATTACTGCTAGGTTACTTCATCATAATTAACAGGCAACAGTATTGACACCTTCAGCCATTTTAATTCACTGCAGTAATTTCAATAATTTCAACTAAGCTAACAGGAAACCCAATTCTAATTGCAGACCCTAATGAACAGATTTAGAAGGAAATTACTACACTAAAACAATACGATCTAATTATCAATCGCAGCCAATCTTAGACAAATACTTTACATATATTCCAAACGTGTGTACTGGTCATAAAAAAAATTGCAGGATTAAATTCAATGAATCAGCATTAAACTCCATCTTATTTCATTCCAAGCTTTGCATTACACATTTAGGTGAAGTCCATGGGCTGGATAATACCTGGGATAAGAAAAGAAACAAAGATGAGAGTGAAGATCAGCAAGTTGCAGCAACAGCAGGTCAACAGCTCAATTCCAGTGATGAAACCACAGAATTCTTTCCAAACCCAATAGAACAGTAACCCCACAATTCAAAACTCAGAAAAAATGCAATTTAATCAATGCTGACACCATTTCAAACACCAAGCCAACTCGACAAACACCAAGACATGTCCTCACTAGCTAATCCTCAAACCATCTCAAAGAAAGAACAAAATCAATTCAAAGAGTGAAAATTTTCAAAATTGAAAGCCAAATTTCAATGGCACAGTAGCAGCCTTTTTTCTTCTGTATTTTTCTCTTCTAAAAACTGACTTGCAAGGCAAGGACTTAATGCCTTTATAGACAAGTAAGTAGGGCAAACTTCAGAATTAGTTTTTACCTTTTACCCCTTTTTAATTCTTTGCTTTAGCTAAGTCATCCCTAAATTTCTGACTTGCTACCCAAGTTAATGTTATCAAAAATCAGAAATTGTAATTCAAACCCCACACTAGAAGCTTCTAGGGGCTTCTTATTTCAGTACCAAAAGATTCCCTAACCTAATTTTCCCAAACTACCCCTGAACAACACTGAAAATTACCCATGAGAGATAGAGCTGGGTCCAAACCCCACGACCAATCCCAACCCATGGCTGGCTAACAAAGTTTTACCTTCTACTTTGGGCTTCTGGTTTGCAGAGCCCAAACGTAACTTAAATCCAAAAAACTTCACAATAGCTCCTGACACCATCAATACTATAAATGAAAAAAAATGCAACAAAATGAAAATAATGAACACCTAATCTTTATATTGAACTATAACCAAAACAGGACTAATTCAAATTGCTCTTGACCAAGGACACGGAAAGCTGACTTAATTAGCACCACAGATATAAAGATTCACGAAGAAACAACACAACGAACACCACTAACATGACTCGAACCAAGCTCAACGGGAATAAATGATTGGAAATAAACAACAGAAATGAGACTGGAAGTGGCAACAAACACAGTAAAAAAAATAAAGAAGAGGTGGGCTTACAATCAATGGAACAGGACTGTATTACTTACCCGGAACGACATGAGCGAGTTTGCTTCTGACAAATCGATGGGTCTTTGGTCTTGCATGAGGCTGATGAACCTCGCAATGAGCCGAAATCCATGCTAATCTCTCATTCTCACAGAGAATAGTCAATTAGCATGGGTTTTAAATCATTAATGGTCCAGGAAAGGTCTTGACTTATGTTCCGGCACCGGACTCGATTTTGGATTTGAAATTCGAAGAGCTACAGGGGTGTTTGAAGGATTATGAGTAGGGATTTGGAATGAGGGAGAGACGGGGGTTCAAGGGTGTTAATTTGGGAGTGATTGGGTGGCGGCGCCGCCGGACACGGCGGAGGAGTCCATGGCGGCTGCTAGGGTTTTGAATATTCAAGAAGTTTGGTAGGGTTTTGAGGAAATCTAATGGCGGATCTGGGATGGGGAGGTGAAGGAGCAGCAGTGGTGTAAATTTGGGGTTTATTGGAGGATCACCGCCGGCGGAGGCTATTTCCGGCCGCGGTTCACGGCGGTAGACGGCGGGGTTAGGTCTGCTTGTGAGAGGTGAGAGAGAGAGACAGAGGGGTAGGGGGGTTTTGAGGGGCGGGGTCCGTTTGGACATTTAAATATAAAATGATCCCAGCTTCCTAGCCGTTCGATCATCAAACCTCGACGGCTGGGATTAATTCTAATCAATACGACGTCGTTTTGTCACTGGGGGGGCTGGACCGGGTTGGGGTACGGGTTTGGGCTAATTTGGGGCGGGTTTGGCGGGTTTTGGGTGGATTTGGGCCAGCCCAACTTGGGCATTTCATTAGAGATATTCCCTTTTCCTTTAATTCTTTTTCTTTTTCAATTAATTCTTTTTTTTCTTTTCTTTTCAAATTAAAGCAAAAAATAAAAATAAAAATCTAAACTAATTCCTAAATCCAATTACCCTACCATATTATATAATTTAACTAATAATTACCACAACTAATGAAAACCCAAATTAAAGAAAATTACCAAAAATTCCAAACTAAAATTAAAAGTGCAACAATAAACTATTTTTTGTGATTTTTGTATTTTTTTTGTAAAATCCTAATTACTTATTGATTTAAAAAATATGTAAAATTAAATCCAAAATGCAATGCGTATTTTTGTATTTTTATGAATTTATGCTAAGTTAAAAATGCACACAGAAATGCAAATAAACATGGAAATCATGCAATTCATTCCTAAAAACACTACTGGAAAATAGGCCTATGGCAACAGCAGGTAAACCGTTGCAATTGATAGGTCAACCGTTGCCATAGATGTATTGGAACGGTTGAGCGACCGTGACATCCGCTCGCATGCCAATAGATCTACAGTAACGGTTTTGGCAACGGTTGACCACACCGTTGCTATAGATCCAGCTATCGCAACGGTTTTCCCTCTATCTGAAGCAACGATTGTTCATTTCAACTGCAACGGTTGACAACCGTTACCATATAGTTTATGCAACGGTTGTAAACTGTTACCATATTATTTACTACAATGGTTGGAAACTGTTACAATATAGTTTATTGCAACAGTTATTTATGCTATTGCAACGGTTATGTACAGCTCTATCGTAACGGTTTTGTTTCTATTGCATCAGTTTCAATTGCCAATTGCATCAGTTTGTCACACTTTATGGAACGGTAACGGTTTGCAAGACCTATCGGAATGATTTAGAATGTCTATGGCAACGACATTTGTGCGTATTGCAACGGTTCTATTAGGCTATTTTAAACGTTTAATTGACATTACTACCTGGAAATATTTGTAATTATAACCTGGAAATTATATAAATAAAAAGATAAAACACTTCATAATCTTTCATATCCAATAAGCTAAGAATAATGATAATAGCAAAATATTTTAACCCAATTACATAAGTTTTACTGTTCAACACTTCAAAAGTTGAAGTTTCAAATGTTATAACAAAAGACTCCAAGAATATCGATAACAACTCAAAGTTCTTCTTAAGTAAGGTCTAGATCTTCACTATCTCCATCTTCCCTTTCTTCAGTTGCTCCACCTTCTCCATCTTCCCTTTCTTCAGTTGCTCCACCTACAAAAGAGAATAAATAAAGTCATTAAATAAGAATAGGTATAGTAGAATTTTCTCTAATTGTAACTTTATAAGTAGAGGATGGGTTAGTTGCATCTTCCCTTTCATTCTTCTAATTGTAACTTTTAACCATTCTAGTCTTGACTTTTATAAGCCAATGCCAAATATAAGCGAAAGAGCAAACGACAAAAAATTGGGGGATAGGGGGTAAATGAAAAATCCTACTACCAAGGCCAATGCTGACTTTTGGGAAGTCCATCCCAATAGCTCTGTACACGAATTAGTTCTTTAACAGGAGGTCCGACAAAACCTTCATTTTCTTTAGGTTGGTTCAGTATGGACTGGCCAAGAATGCTATGCATCTTCTGATTGAATAAGCATTTTCCTTACCACACAATAAAAAGAAAAAAAAAAGAGAGAGAAGAAAGGAAGAGTGAGAAATGAAGGACACCCTTGTTCACAAGCACAAATAATCTACTACATGGCAATGCAAAGAATTTGTTCTAGGAACAAAATCTAGACTTGAATTTACAATTGTCCAATATTTGAAGCCAAGCACTCCATGTAGCAGAGCTTTCGAGTACCCATTAAATATTATAACAGAGAACTAAAAGGTTGAAATGGCATAAGACTATCAGAGTAAATACAAATAGCAGAATTAAAAGTTCAACTTTACTCACATATATCATAGCTTTCAGCCTCAACAAGAGTTTGCTCCATATAAAGACGGCCAAGGAATGAAGGTTTGGATGTAAATTTAGTTAAATGATGAGCAAGATTTATGTGTCTCCGGAACAGAAAACCAATAGTATTATAACACTGCTAATGTCATTAAAGTTGTTGTATAATCAAACAGTAGAAAAGAACTCTTACAGTCATTTCTGGCAATGAGTTCAGCTTTTTGACAAAATCCTTCAATTCGGACACTGACTGGGTATATATGTAATACACAATGTAACACAAAAGTCAACTATTGAACAAGCACCTACGACCTTTAGGAGTTAAACGGAAATGAATCACTAGATTTCAGTTTCTTTTTTTCTTTTTCAGGAACCACAAATTAAGCATCTCACTGAGGTGGTCCAGAACTATATATATTTTGTTCCAGACTGCTATTCTATTTTATTGCACAAGTAAAAGATGATCAGATAACTACTACAAAAGTCAAATCATGTAACAAGGGCAAGGCTAAGACATGCACTTGTAAGATCACTGACTAGCCGTAGTCTACATCTCTGAGTAATCTTGCTTCATAGAAGTTGCTTTTTGACGTAGAACCTGCAATTGTACTGCAAATGACAATTAAAGGAACAGAAGACCAAGGAAAGAAGATATGCGAGTTGACTGTTATGATAGAGCATGATAGATTGATAAGTATGCTGAAGACGCCTAGAATTTGTTAAAACGTAGAAGATGGTGAGAAAATAAATCAACCTGGACAACAACTTCAAAGTTCTGGTCCCGTATCTCTTTGAACAGCTTGTCACTACAAAGGCAATGAATTGATATTTCAAACAGAGAAATAAAACGTCTAAGGCACGGAGAGAAAGTTAAAATAAGACATCCCTTTTTTTCTTTTAAAAAGAGACAAAAAATAGTAGATATATATTTTCCAGTGGTCACATCTGACTATACTTATTGGCATGACAAAGACCTGGAATCCATATGAGAGAATACCCCCCCCCCCCTCCCTCCAAAAAAAAGTATAACATTCTTTTTTTTTAATGAAACTAGTTTAATACCAAGGAAACTAGCTGACCTTGAATTAAGGGGAACCTTTATCTTCTTGCCTTCTTGCTGGACACCCATAATAGATGTATCTAGTTCCACAGCACCATTATTGATACCAAGAAACTGCATGAAGCCTATTAGAGATAGCTTTTAAAATTCTCACAGCATATAGTCTGTTTATTGTTCTATAAGCACCAGACATATTATACAACCATAAACTGCTGCCTAAACGGTTTCCTAAAGATATAGATCCATAGCAATCCTAAGAACATCACTTTTACCTCATCAAGCAGCCCTTCATATGTTAACTGCGAACACATTGGAGTGATCATATCCACCTGCACAATTCTAGGAAAGTCTTACAACCACAGTGACAAATGGATATAAAGGCCAAAAGAATATTGTCCCAAACAACTCAAGATACACTAACTATAGTATTTCCACAACTATGAAGGTTCAAAAATAAATAAATAAAACTCAAGCGCCAGAGCACTTAACTGACCGTGAGGATCAAAGACAAAAGGAGTAAAACTTTATGAACTAGCAAGATTGGACCTGAAGAATGCTCAACTATTTGTACACTAGACAAATAAAAGAGAATATTTTTTTCCAATTCTTAAATCCTGAAGTTTCAGGCTAAACCAGAGTCAGAATTCAGAAATAAAAAAGTTTCACAATTTTCCACTCAAGCAAGCTGAAAAAGTATGATAAGATGTTCCCCTTCCCAGCATTTTTTATCTTCAAAGGAGAAAATTAAGTTCATGAATCAACGGATCAGTGCAAGAAAAGGTACTCAATTTTAAAAGATTTCCTTCATCACCTCATGCTTTGAACTGTGTCATTAGAGCAGACCAACTACTTTTGGACATGATACCATCCAGAAAAGCTATTCCCCTTTCCTCTCACCTTTGTTTTATGAGAAAACTCAGTCTCACTCTCTCATTATCCTACTCAATAGAATGGCAATAACCACCTACTCTAAACTAGCCTGAACCTTCAAAAGAATTCTTTAATGAAGCCTTCTCTTTACCAAATCACTGATAAAACCACACAGTAATACTTTTTATAACTGCATTAAATGCATATACTGAGAGAGGAGGAAGGGTAGTGCCGAGGGGAAGACAAAAAATGTGTGGTACCTCTCTGTCCAAGAGGATGATAGTATTTATTTCAGGCACACCCATCTGCAGTGAAAGAACGAATTGGTATTATTTTGTGACAATGCATGGTGCCCATTATTTTTTTATGTATGATATTGATCTAGTAGATTTAAGATTTGAGTTACCTCAGATGTGTTCACAGTTCTTCCAATTGCATCCGATTCAAAATGTCAGCAACACGAACTGATGCTTCCCCTTTGGCCCTCACATTTGGAATCACTCCAAAGGAAAACTACATTTCTCATAAAACAAAAGGCTGTTAGCTAATGTTATGCTGAACCTACTTTGCCCAAAAACAATGAAATCGATTCCAATAGTAGTTAGTTCTATCGAGTAAATATAAAAAGCACCTCAAGTTTATGGAGAGCTTTTGCTATGTGCCACAGGGAGGTAGTGTCCCCATCAACTAGGTACTCCTGTCATATAAATGTAACTATTTTTACATATGCCAATCTTTAGAAAAGTACATAACCTTTGTCTTGAATCAATGTGAGGAACAGACGTACTTTGTGAGCAACATCAAGTTCAAATGATAATACATCCTCATCCAGTGGAATAAGATTAAGGGGATACTCCCCTATAGTCAACAGGTGATGAACTTTTTCTTCCTCAAGTATCTGTCAAAAATTATATACAATTGCTAATGAGAAATACATGCCAAACAAAATTCTTAAAGAAGTTTATTAAGATTTGTTTCAAAAAAAAGGCTAACCTTCTCACATACAACTGCACGACGAGGGACAAAATAAACAAAATACTCCCGTTGAATCAACATGTTTGTTATTAGTGTGAAAAAGAACATAGAATCAACATGTTTGTTACCCAATACCACTGCAAAAGGAAATAGATAGAAAAAGTCTATATGTTAGCAAAAAACATCACATGCAATTCATGGTTCATAATTGAAGCGGGTTCATTCCCTACAGTGAAGATGCATTTCTTTCTTTATTTACTTTTCTAAAATATACCTACTTAAAAAATAGCTGCATCTGCAGCAAACAAAAACATATTATCAATTGTGGCAAAGAGTTGGGAATAGAATATAAAACTGTGCCAATACGTACAGCAAGAAGTCATTGCCAAACAATATCCTGGAGATCAACAACTCGTAGCTTTCTACTGCTAGCACGCAGCAAAGAAAGAAGATACTCCCAACTCAGGGTGCATACAGATCTATTTGTAATATCAACTGCATCAATCTCAGAAACATCAACTTCCATCAACAAATCTAGCAGTGGGTGAAAATCAGTATCCTGGATGTCATCCAGCAAAATCACTAAGCTAGACACCTCATGGCGGGCTTTCTTCAACTTGGCCTTGGAAAGAGCTGACATAACTTGTTTATTATGCTTGAACTAATAAATTCTAAATACCAAGCAGCTTCAAATATGACATTGGATTTCAAATACATATTAATTTCAGAAGATTACAGTGACCACTTCAAACATTGTACCATTTTTACCATTATTTATGCAAAGTGCCTGACAATTTACCATTTCATATTCCATCAACAACTAATACTGGAATTTAACCAACAACAAATCATCAAAACAATTGGACATAGAATATCACAATAAAATTCACACCAACCAAAGCCGACAAAGATTATACCATTTGTATTAAATCTGAACTTTGAGTTCTACAACAAGAAAATCGCTAAGCAAATAAACATACCTGGAAATCACTGATTGCTTAAATGCCAAATAAAGACTAAGAGAACGAAGATGAAGCTCAGTAGATCAGCAGTACGGCAGCAAACAGATTTAATCTTCGGTCGAAAAACAAATTGAAACCTAGAAAATGGTGATGAAAAGCTCCTCGAATCCAAGCATCAACCCTATATTTTCTTAACCGCTGCTAGGTTTTTCAAGGGTGGGTTCTATCTCTTTCAACGGAAAACGAAGGTGTCTCATTTACCTGATGAGAGGAGTGAGAGATGGCTAGTTCGATTTTTCAAAAATGGAGCCGGGGTTCGATCTTTTTGGTGTGAGGGATCTGATTTTCGTCCATCTCTAGTGTCTGCGGCGCTAGGGTTCCATAATGGGAAGGGAATCTGATCTGGGAAAATTATTTAATATTTAGATTATTAAAATTATTAAAAAATAAAATTGGGTTATCTTGGCGGGTGTAATAAAATTCAGGAGGGAAAATTAAGAAGGGAAAAAGTAACCGTTCCAATAGAAATTTTTACAATGAAAGCGTTCCCGTAGATAGTTTTATTTGGGACGGTTTACATAACCGTTGTGCCAAATACGTCTATGGCAACGGTCGTTTTACCATCGCAACGGTTCTATAGTTAAAGTATGCTGATATCACCTAAATGCTACTGTAACGGTTGTAACCGTTACCTTATAGTTTCTATGGCAACGGTTGTTAAACCGTTGCTAAAATAACTGTTGCCATAGGCCCATTTTCTGGTAGTGGTTCTTCTATATGGTGCCATAGATTTGTCCTCCCAAATGTTTTTGACGATTTGTCCATATATTTGTTGCCATGGACTTGTACTTGGATATGCCGTATGACCCTTCATAAAACGATCGATACTACCACAGACCTGCATTTCATGGGATAAAACACCGCCGCACTGTCCGAAGGCGTCATAGTCCAAAGGCACCATCCTCATAGCCTAAAGACACCATGCCATGGCCTGAGGACCTCTCAAATTTGCATATCATTATTCAAAGGAGTCATAGTCCGAAGGCACCATCCTCATGGCCCGAGGACACCATTCCATAGCCTGCTAATCTCTTACCATACACTTCATGGCCCAGAATATCATAGTCTAAGGACATCATCCTCATCGTCCAAAGACAACTCTCATGGTCCGAAGAGAGTTTGCATCATGTTTAAATTTTCAAAATAACCCATATATTTTCGCATTCATCGTGTTTTAAGTTTTGTAGGTAACTCGGGAGGTAACTATTCTACAAACAGGAGCAATTCTCGCTCCAGTTTCTGTTCCCAACGTTCACATCCTTTGATCACCTCAAACATAATCGATGATCAATAATTGATTACCTTTTATTCTATTATCATTCAAATATGTTCCTTATACATCCGTAACGTTCAATTTGCATTCATATCCCCACCTGAAATCATCCGTTACTCATAATACTATCACATCCAAAAGATCCTTTTTCGAAACACACGAAAAATCTTATAATAACTCCATCGATTTTGTTCGTCGTTGAATCTAGAACTACACACGGCCTGCTTCCCGTAACACCAGGGATATATAGACAACTCAAGAACCAGGGTTCGACCCCCATTTTTTCAAAACACATTATGCGTCACTCACTTTGGACAAAATTGGTCATCATTTTCTTTACCCGATAACTCTTTCATTTTTCCCGGGTAAAGAGAGGTAGCTGTTTGTCACGACCCAAAACTGCCATGTCGTTATGGCGCCTATCGTGGAGTAGGCAAGCCGACTCTTTGACCAAAACATCCCAAAATTTCAATTTTAAAGATTACTTCCAGCTATTCAATTAATAAAACTTCATAAGATAAATCTGAATAACAAAGTGCGTAAAGAAAAGCCCGACATCGGGGTGTCACTATTCATGAACATCTACTACGTACTGTCCAATAATACTAAGACCAATACAGCCTGGAAAACAACTAATAATATCTATAGGAAGATAGGAGGGGGTAGAGCAGGGCTGCGATCTCCATGCACTTACCTTGCTAACTCCAACAGAATCCGCGACGGATGAAATCAACACTCGCTAGCACGTCCAGCAACCCCTGGATCTGCACACAAGGTGCAGGAAGTAATGTGAGTACGCCAACTCAGTAAGTAATAAAGGTAAATAAAGACAGAGCAGTAGTGACGAGCAGTAAAATACACAAAGTCCACATCATGCAATCTCAGAAAATACAACATGCTTTCAAATCAGTAGGTGAGTCAATTCATCTCGTTTAAAAATCCTGTTTTCGGTAAAAATCATTTGATGATATTTTTCAACAGTTTCAACAAAGGCTCAATGTAAAAGAGAGCAAAAGTGATGAAAATCATGAACAACCCCTCGGGCAAAATCAGCAGCCTCTCAGGCAGAACATCACTCACACATAGCCCCTCGGGCAAACCTCACAGTCACTCGTACACAGCCCCATGGGCATATCTCATATCACTCACTCACGGTACCCGCGCTCACTAGGGGTGTGCAGACTCCGGAGGGGCTCCTACAGCCCAAGTGCTATAACAAGCCACCTCGTGCCATAAATCAATCAGGCCCTCGGCCTCGCATAAATCATAAATCAGTAACCACATGCTGCGGCGCGCAGCCCGATCCCATAATATCCTCACAATAACAGGCCCTCGGCCTCACTGAGTCATAAACCTCTCTAGCCACTCGGGCTATCAGTAAAAAAACAGGGTGCTCAGCCCAAAATAACATTTTATATGCATCAAAACGGGGTAATTAAAGACTGAGTTGTGAAATCAGTAAACATAGCATGACTGAGTATAGATTTTTAATCAAAATAGCAAGAGGATAATAAGAAAAGGCCCCTAAGGGTCCAAACAGCTCTGGCACAAGGCCCAAATATGGCATTTAGCCCAATTTATAGAATTTCTTTCTAAATCATATAAATATCATATAGTTTCAGTCAAATACGCAACTTTATAGTTGCTACGGGACGGACCAAGTCACAATCCCCAACGGTGCAAGCCCACACGCCCGTCACCTAGCATGTGCGTCACCTCAAAGTAGTAAAACAGTGCAAAATCTGGGGTTTCATAACCTCAAAACTAGATTTACAATCTTTACTTACCTCAAACCTATCAAATCCCTACTCCGCAATGCCCTTGCCTCTGGAATCGGCCTCCAAAAGTCCCGACACTAACCAAAAACAATACAATGCAATCAATATAGGCCAATGAACAAATTCCATACGAAAAACTATCAATTTAGACCAAAATCCCAAAATTCACCCAAACCCGGCCCCCGGGCCAACGTCTCGGAATCTGACAAAAATTACAAAACTAGAAATCCCTTTCACTAACGAGTCTACCATACCAAATTCATAAAAATCCGACATCAAATGGTCCCTCAAATCCCCAAATTAAACTCTCCAATTTCCTAGCCCTAACCCCTCATTTTCATTCCTAATTCCTACAAATTACATGCTTAAACAACT